TTTAAATTCAAAAAAAAAGTGAGATTTGGTTTAATACATTTTCTCTTCAATTCTCTTTTTAACAGATCATCTACAGTTCATTCAAGTGAGACTTATTAGATACAAATAGATCTCTCGCTCATTAATAAATGATAATCTGTCAATAAGAGAGTTTAAGAGAAAATAAATATGAGAGGATCTAGATCCATTCAAATGAAGATAAAATATGACCATTGAACTTTTAAATGAATATATTCGGTCTTTACTCAAATTTAAATGTAAGTTAAAGTAGTTAAAAACAAGTTGTGGTCTTTTACTCAAACTCATATCAAATGAAGGGATACTCAAATTAATTTTAAATGGTTAAATTTCACCCTTTTTCAAGGATTTAGCGACCAACCGCTTTTAAATTTGAATTGCCATCTATTAAATTTGAGTTTGTTGATTTGAGTAGTTTTGTATCCTAAGTCAAATTTGTTACTCAAATGTAGACTTTTGGGTAAAAATTTAAGTTAAAGGTTTTTTTTGCTGGTTAAAAAAAGAATGAGGGATAAAAGAGAGTACTCAGATACCACCCTAATAGACCCTCACTAGTGGGATCATAAGGCTCCTGACCGTGCCCATTATTCCTCTCAAACGAACCTAGTTAAATTAGCATAGCGGTCAACCATCGAATTCCAATGCGGACTTCAAGACTCGAATCTCCAACCAAAGAGTCAAAAGTTCGATCGATAACCTACTAGACCACTCCACTCGATGGTTAAGTTAATGTTAGAAATGATAACATGAAGTAAGTGGAGCTCAACTCAATTATATGTCGTATATTAGGGATAATTTGTACTTGAAAGCACAGTATAATATGAATAATTTTAAAAAGTATGTTGGTGACAGTTAAATATATTTATTTGAAACCATCAAATAAAAATTTACGTTATTTTATATTATAGATTTTTACCATATTTATCGGTCTATCCACAAACCATATAACTCTTAAAATCCGACACCTCACCCGAATATGCGAATAAACAATAGTAGTTAGTTTACTCCTACTTTTCCTATTCACTTTGAAAATGTCCGAATCAAGCTTTGTCTAGATTTTTCTATGAAAAAGAACAAAAAAAAATCACTCACCATGTCATCTTATTGATTGGTTCAGCTTAATATGTCATGCCCCAATTATTTTAAATGAATCACATAAATCATCATGTCTGACCATTTGTTCATTCAAGGGTTGTGCATTCTATTGACTTACAAGCTCTCATATGTCCTTGATGTCATTGATTTTCTTCCCAATTTCAAAGTTACATTATATGTAATTCAAATAATAATAATAATAATTTATATGTAATTCACTTATATATCTTTGGGTAAATACCATTATTAATTTTTAAATTTTGTCTTTTATTTTAAAATGGTATTTGAATTTGAATTTGAATTGTCTTAATATAGTTCATCGACTATGAATTTCATATCAATAAAGTTCTTATATCTATTTTATTAGTTAGAATAATTGGAGACACATGACGGCGACACAAACGGCCGCCATGACAAACACATGAGCTTACTTCTATTTGTTGTAAAAATGGTAAGGACTAATTTTTGTGAAAAATCATTTAACTTTAACAATGTTAATTTAAAATTTGTAGGCGTGATTCAGTGATTAAGTCTGACTTTTGATAATTTAGAGGGCTCAGGTTCAACATTTCTCGTACACCATAAGGGTCAACCACCCTTATTTTTTAAAAGACATGTTTTAAACTCGTTCAAGCTATGATAACTACTATTTAAGTTTGATGGAATAATCGTTGCAATCTTAAATATCTTATAACAAATAAAAAATTAAACCGCATGTAGTGAAAAAGTCGATCGAATCAAATCGCGTACGTCACGTGACAATTGTCGTTAATTCAGGATTTAGATATCTTTTAATATATTTTTTTATTTTTTTGCTAGTGAATCATTTATTATTAATACATGAGAGACTTACTTATACATAATAAAATTTATTTAAATACATAATAGATGATCAATAAAAAAAATTAAAAAATATATATTAGAGAAAATTACACTCTGTGCAAACCTGATGTGGACAAATCTAAAAATGAAGACAAGATGGCGCGTTTGGGAGATTGGTTCCTTCCATAACGAATCTATGCCGTAGCGCGTTGTCTGTACATATTGTCACGTCGTTTTCTGTACGTAGTGTCACGTCATTGTCATACTAAAAGTAAAAACTGCTCGCACCATAAATGGGTAAATTAGGACTGGACTGTAAGAAGCCCGTGATTAAGGAGAAAATACTCGTTACAATAGTGATGTTACGTAACAAGGTGATATGATATCCCCGATTAATAACAATAAAATAAATAAATAGATTGATTTCACAAAAATAATAACTAATATTTAATGTAAAGAAATAATTCTTCACTCTTTTGTCATATAAGTCCAAATAAGATTCATCTTTTCTATTTTTCCATTCGAATGACAATCATCATATATTAATGCACAAAATTTACAATCTTTTCTCCCTCTCTCTCTCTCGTTAATTAATAGAAAAATTTTAAAAATATGAAAAATTGTAAAAAAACATTTTAAAAAAAAACTTCAAATCAATAATAATTCGCTGGATCATAATTAAAAAAAAGGAAGTTATTCATTGGTGAGAGTTTAAAGTGCTTCTATGAGCCAAGTGTTGAATTGTGATTGGATGAAACCTTAGTTTAGTAGTATAAAAAATCAAAATTCTAAGAATTTAGGAATTAGGGAAGAAAGACTTCTCAAACCATCTCATCCTAATTCGTTCGTTTTTATACTAACAATCACTCCGTCTGATGCTTTCTTCATCACTACTGTAACTCCCACTCTCACCCAACTGCCACCCATACCCCCATACCCCCACTCCATCATAACATTATCAGAAAATGCTTATTGATATTTTACAAAAATATAAATATAAAATAATTAAAAAGATGAGAAATTCAAATGTAAAATATTTATCAAAACGTTGGAAATGATTACAGATAGAAAGGAGGTTGGAATTCACTTGGAGGATGATAATTAAATAATTCAAAATTAGAAGGAAAATAGAATTTCTCAAGTACTCTCTTTCATAAATTAATTCTTTTAGTATATATATATATATATAACAGTTATTAGATTGATGCGATTATATATCTGTAGGGTACATCATGAATATATGGATTCTTGATAAAATGTGGTGATACCATATTGTTATAGAATAAAACTAGTGTTTATCTTGTACGATGCACAAAATCTGTAATATCTCTCCATTGCTACCCCATTTCTACCCCTAACCCCACCATATCTTAACACTATTAGAAAATTATTTACTACCATGATGGATTTATATTTAAAAAATTTAGATAGGAAGTAGTTAACAAAAATAATGAGACATTTAATGTGGGATAGTTTTTATATATATAGAGTTGAAAGTTTTTATATAGGGCATCACATGTAGGAATTCAATTGGAGGAGATCAACACATTTCTATTAAATAATTCAAAAATAGAATTTGAGGAAGAAAAGCTTCTCCAACACTCTCTCCTAAATTAGTGCTTATGGTATAGATATTTACTTGGGTTTAACTTTTGAGGAGGGTAACTCATTTTTCAATTGGAAGGCCTGATGTTTAAATTTTGTCAACAAAAAAAGTGTAATAAAGAGTATCTTAATCCGACGATATTATGCTTCTTTGACATGTTCCTTACGGAAACAAATAGTAAATTAGATGTATTGAATGAATCAAAGGTGATTACCAATTATGGAAACAAACCTCATTTCTATTTGTCCAAAATCCAAATCAATCAGCAGTGCAAAAGAAAAAGAGAGAATTGATGAGGATTTAGATATTGAGACATGTCCTGCAACCATTCATCAAGGGGTGAATTTCTTGGAGTTGAACCTCCTTACATATGGAGCTACCTTCCCAAGAAAGCTTTAGCCTAGGAGCACTCGTTCAATACATGTAATTACCTCCATAACTATGATAATTCGTTGGGTTAAGTTTAGTTTTCAGTATTGAAAGTACAAAGTGGGATTTTAGTTTTAGCTTTGACGTAGGTGCAATGAGGTCCTCTGTAGATAATTGTGTGGTGTTGAAGGACAATATTCCTTAACAAATATGTGGAATTACTTATCAGCATATCAATTTATTGTTTCAAAAAAAAAAAAATTGTTTCAACCCCTTTGCCATAGACACAACACACACCGCTCATTCTAATCTTTCTGCGTTCAAGGTTTCTAGTAGTGGGAAGAATATTTAACACCCGTTCTTCAAGCAAAAATCATGAATTTTCTTGATTCAATCGTATCATCGTAAAAATTGGTCATATTATTTTTAAAACATAGAAGAAAGAGAAAATCATAAGCTTGAGTGATTTAATTAAATATAATTAGATGACCTTTTAATTACTTTACTAATTGTACAGGAGTCAAATCCATACATCAATTTCCATTTTGTTGTATTGGCCTTGAAGAATAAATGAAATGACCAATAAATGCTAAATCAATCTATTCAATTGCCTATTCCTTTTCAATATAACCAATAAATGCTAATGCAAAATTTCTAAAAGAAAGTTAATTGTAGTTTGTTTTCTTCAATTATGATTTTGTCCATTCAATCATTTTTCATCGTTCAATCACTGAATTAGTCTTTTTAATTAAATTATTAATTTTAATATATTATATCTTGTACTATTTCAATCGTCACATTTTACATATCATTAAAACTTGGACATGAAATATTAAAATTTTCAATTTAAGAAATAATCATGGAAGATTATTTTTGTTCAAATTTAACTATTTATTCACAGTGCCACAAAATTTGCACAATTGGAAATATGCTAAAACAAAATTAGAATGATAATTTAGAGGAATAAAGTGTATTTATTCCTTCACAAGTATACTTAGGTTCCTTCTATGTGGGCCCCCACATAAATTTAACAAAGCCCATTAAAATAAACTAACAGTAGGATCTTAGTAGCTTGCCTCACGTAGACTTTTCACTGTACTCAACGACGTACGAGAATCGAAAAGTCTCTCCCTCTCGCTTATAGTCCTTGGAGTCCCCAAACTCTGTCCGTCCTCCCAATCCAAATACTACGGCACCCCTCCTCACTCTCCTTCATCCCCCCTCTCAGGCGTTCGCCATTCTCTCTCCTCACCATCTTCAGACCCACCACCACAATGAGCAAAGGCTCCTTCCTGTCCGGCGGAGTGGTGAAGAAGATCCTTCTCAATTACACCTACGTAGCCATCTGGATCTCCTTATCTTTCAGCGTCATCGTTTACAACAAGTACATCCTCGACAAGAAGCTCTACAACTGGCCATACCCAATATCTCTCACTATGATCCACATGGCCTTCTGTTCCACCCTCGCTTTTTTCGCCGTCCGTGTCTTCTCTCTCGTCGAACCAGTCTCCATGTCGCGTGACGTCTATCTCTCCTCCGTCGTCCCCATCGGCGTTCTCTACGCCATCAGCCTCTGGCTCAGCAACTCCGCTTATATATACTTATCAGTCTCTTTCATCCAAATGCTAAAGGCCCTCATGCCAGTGGCTGTATACACCATTGGAATTTCTTTCAAGAAAGATCAGTATAAGAACGATACAATGGCTAATATGTTGGCGATTTCACTGGGGGTTGGGGTTGCTGCTTATGGGGAGGCCAAATTCGATACATGGGGGGTGTTCCTCCAACTGGGTGCTGTGGCTGTTGAGGCCACAAGGCTTGTGATGATCCAGATCTTGTTAACTTCAAAGGGTATTAAACTAAACCCTATTACAACTCTGTATTATGTGGCTCCGTGTTGCTTGGTTTCCCTTTGTGTTCCGTGGGTTTTCGTGGAATACCCTGTTTTGAGGGACAATTCGAGTTTTCAACCCGATTTCTTCATTTTCGGGACCAATTCTTTGTGTGCTTTTGCTTTGAATTTGGCTGTGTTCTTGATTGTTGGGAAGACATCGGCTTTGACGATGAATGTGGCTGGGGTTGTGAAGGATTGGCTTTTGATTGCGTTTTCTTGGTCGGTGATTAAGGACACTGTAACTCCGGTCAATCTTTTTGGGTATGGTTTGGCGTTTTTGGGTGTTGGGTATTATAATTATTGTAAGTTGCAGGCTTTGAAAGCGACTGAGGGGCAGAAGAAGGTTCAAGAGGCTGATGAAGAGGCCGGAAAGTTGTTGGAGGAGAGAGAAGGTGGTGGAGATGGATTGGGGAAGAAGATTGATTCCCAGGAATAACTCAATAGCTAAGTTAAACATAACAAAAAAGTGGTGTGGAAATGAAAAAGGCTGATAGAAGAGGATAGAGTGATGAAAGGGTTTGGAATTTGGGGGCAAAAGAAATTGAGTGTCTGAGTTATCTTATGCTCTTTGGATGGATTAAGATTATTGGTATGTTGGTTGGTCATCTTTATTTATGCTCTAGTTATGGTTATTACTGATATTAAAAGGTATTCGGGACTCACATTTCTTGCTTATATTGCCAGTTTATGTACGTTAGTAGAGTAAGAATCTCGAATTCCCGATATCTATTTACACTTATCCTTATATTTTTATTTTTGAATTCAGGTACTTATGAATGTGTAAGAACTCTTAGGTTTTATATATGAATGTAAATCCATTTTGCACACATGATCTTTTTTATGTATTGATTGATTGCTTAATGCTTTAGTTCTTGCGGTGAACTTTGTCTGTAATACAATGGTTAGACCTTATGGTGATTTGTTTCTAGGATTTGTTGTTTGAAGCAGTTTCTTTGCTTGAAATTTATGCTGGAGGTATTAGACTTGAGAGTGGAATAAGAGAGACGGATATACAATTTGTATGATGCTGAGTGTTGCTTGATGCATCTAGCTCTTATGGGAGAAGAGATTTAAACTTGGAATAAAACAAATTGTGGAACAGAAGAGTTTGACATGAAAAACGAAGTTGCTATGGACATCAGGTAGTTTGCCAAAAGTGCATGATAATTAATAATCATTTGAAAAAGCTTTTCTATTTTTATCTTACTTGATATGACCTGCCAAAATGTTAGGCTGTTGGATGGATGGTTAGCATCTTGCATTGGTTATTTTGTCTAGGTTGTTCAGGTCTCTAGGACTTCACTTGGCTCCTCAGTTAGTTGTCATCCTCCATCAAGGTACTTTGTTTCAGTAATGCCATACATTAGAGGTCATGCTACTGTTGCATAGGGTGGAAAGATATCACTGTTGAATGTGTTGATAGAATGGTGGGTGACTGAATTAAGGGAAACTTCAAAGGGTGGTAGATTACAGTGCTAAAGACTTAGATAATAGAGATTTGTTGAAAAATGAATAGGAAATCAGGAAATCTAAACTTCTTGGGTGCAAAATGGCCGTTTTTGGGCTCATGTCCGGACACATTGACATGACAAATCCTCATATATTAGGATACGAACATCACTAGGAATGCACTAGAACCAGTTGGATGTTGATGGACCACAATAGTCAATTGTCACCCCTTTCTTATGGGCAAAATATGGTAGGCTAAAATAATTACGATAATTTCTCTCAATAATACTTTTGCTCTGTTACAACTAGTTATATGCCGTATTTCAAGGTTTGTTAATCACATGGTAGTTTGTTTTGGGTCTAATTTTTAAGTCATAAGCACAGCGTAGACATGCCCGGAGGATATGTCAGAAAGTGGTCTTTCAAAAAGTTTTTGGTCAAACTTGTTCCGACACAGACATTACAAATTCTTAAATATGTGCTCTGAAGGCCAAGGTTGATCAGCGATTTGTTAGTAAGTTGGGAATGAATATCAGGAAGATTTAGAGTTCCTAATTTGAAATTGTGTTTAGTAGGCTGTCTACTGTTTGCAAGAATACCCTATGTTGGATGAATTACTCTGGAGAATTAAGACAGGGCCCTCCTCATCAGGGTTCGTTCTACAGTCTGAATCCCCCTTAACCGGGCAAAAAATCAAGTGGCTGGAACTTGCAATGCTCGTTCTGGTTTAAAATTCAGTAGATGAACAATGACTGGAAGCTGTACCTATGCCTGGGGACTCGGGTGCATGCTTCGAAGAGATCTTTCAAGGCTGCCTAGAAGAGATTTCATCATCTCTAACTCAGTGCATGCTTTTGTTTAGTCGAATAACTTTAGTCTTGTCTATTATTTCTTCCAAGAATTACTGTCTTCTATGGGCATGTAGGTAGTGCTGGTTAAACCCTTGCATGGTTGGACTTGATTTTCCAGATTTCTTGGGCATCATATAGGACCAGGTTGGCTTGATTACAATGCTGTTATTAGTCTAAGACTTCCAATTTAAAAAGCTTATGTCTGAAGATTTAGTTGAACATTATACTGCGTGGCAACCTTTGCCTGGGCAATATTGAAGTGTCTCAGTGATTGATTCTATTGGCATACAATTGAATTTAAACACTTCTTTGAGCCTCAGAACTGAACGCTACAGATTGGATATCTGAAGCATGAATGTCACTAAAACTTCATGTATATAATGGATAATGGCATGCAACCCGTGGATAATGGCATGCAACCTGTGCGATGTATAAAATTTATAATCTTCCTCTACCATAACCTTACCACCAAATCCTCTCTAACCGTAATATTATTTTGATAATTACGGATAGACAAAGTGTCATTGTCTGGGAAACTACGAAATGAGCTTATCACCGGGCAGGACAAGGTACCATATGTAGGTTTCATGTTCAGTTTCCATCATTTTGAGGATTGATGAATTAGATGTGATGTAGTACAGAATGTCAATATGTAATGGTACAGTGACAGCTAGCCTACCCAGTCCTATGAATGCTGCCATAACAATTTCTGCAGACCACAAGGATATCCAGGATAAATATCTGTAATACTTGAAGTACATGGCCTAAGTTCTCTCCAAACTTGCACACATTTTTCCCTTTTGGTGTGGAATAATGTTGTCTCCTCATTTTAATGCCATAACACAGAAAATAGAGAACCAAAATTAGTTGGCATCTAGATTTGATTAAAAAATTCCACTGGTCAAAACTTCAAGTTGTACTTTTGAAAACCCACCAAGCAGGTTCGCCTTTCTAATTGAAAGAAATATAATCAGATACAAGTATATGCATTTAGCTAAATAGTCAGAAACATGAATAAAATTGCCTTTTTTTTTATGGGTACTGCCTTCTTTCCTTTGGATATTTTTCCAAAAATCTCCCCATTTACAATATAGCCAACTCCCCCCCCCCCCC